CTAATACTAGTACAATTAGTAAAAAAAAAAAAAAAAGGGCCTGGCCCAAAAAATCACCATTGGCCCACCGGGCAAATGCCCGGTATGCCCGATGGCCAGTCCAGCGGTGGTCTACATCCATTGTCCCATACACATGATTGAACTGCTCAATTACGTTACATTCAATAGGTACACAATAGAATTTCTTGAGTTCCTTTAATATTTTTTGTCTCTTACATTTTTATTGCTCTCTTCCTTATAATTCATCCATTCATTCATTCATTTTCTAGATGTCAGTCAGTTGATCAGCTACTGTAAATACAAATTTCCAATGCCAATTCAAACCTAATAAGATTAAATCCTGAAAGAAATGTATGTTCACCAAAGCCTGGTGCTGGCCTCATGTAACACTGGTTAGGAGAAGGATTATCAGACCAGGTCAGATGATGCATGTTGACTCATTCTGGCTGACACTGTAAACCTACATCACTTTGTCAGTAACAGGGATAATAGCTGAAAGTCAGCATTGCCTGAAAGAAAGCATACTCAGAGATGGCCAGAAAGTGTGAACTTCTGCAGTGGTTTTGTTTGGTTGGTTTTGAGTGTTGGCGAACAATGTTCAGGTGCGTGTGTGTGTGTCTGTCTGTATGCGTATGCACTAGAGGACAGTGTAATATTGTTTTGAAACCTTGGGGTTGGGACAGAGCTAACACCTGAATGAACCTGTCACTGCAGACACATTGCTTTTTCAGCTCCAGCGATTACACTGCACCCAAACACACTCAACATTTTCTCTGTGTGTGTGTGTATGTGTGTGAGAGAGAGAGAGAGAGAGAGAGAGAGAGAGAGAGAGAGAGAGAGAGAGAGAGAGAGAGAGAGAGAGAGAGAGAAGAGAGAGAGGGAGGGGGGAGAGAGAGAGAAAGAGAGTGTTGCTTGTGCATTGCCTGTGTGAGTGTGTCTATGAGTGTGAGAGAGACAGGAACAGAGAGTGAGAATGACGGAGCATTGTGTCTCTGTGTGTGTCTAAAGCTCTGCTGTGTTTTAGATTTCTCCCTGGAAAATATGAAATAGGGCTACAGCTACTGTGTCCTTCGAGGTTAAACAACAAGTTGTATTGATGGATACGCACACATAGGGCATAGTGGGCCTCACCAAAATGCTCCAAAATTGAAAAAAAATTGGACAAAGTTTTCTATTAATTCTTTTTCTCTCTTTGCTACTCTGTATTGTGTACACTGTATTAGTGACTCTCCTTCAGCAAGCCACTTATCACAGACTATTAGAGGACTGTCATGACACAAGCCAGCTCACAGGTCTGAATGCATGTTACAAAGTGTTACCATCTTCTAAGAACATTACATAAAACAAAGACAAATAATGGCCAAGTCATGTTCTCTAAATGTAGCTTACAGTACTTACCATACTGAGCACCTGGTATGATGAAAACCGGAAACTTTGTTGGATCTGTCGGGCTTGGATCAAGTTTGAGCCATTTTGTTGTGCATACCTTCAGGCTTTGGTTGAGATCAGGTTGGGTTGTTTCAAATGTTTTTAATTAGGGAGCCTGTTTCTCTCTCTGTGGATCTCCCTCTTATTCACTCTGACTGCGCCAATAGAAAAGAGAAGCTTCCCACTGCTTTTACAGCCAGTAGTGGATGAAATAAAGGAAAGAATGGCTAAAGAGGAGCCAAAAGTCGGTCTGTGCACTTTAGGAGTAGTTGTCTTGTAGTTGTAATTCTGCTGCATTATTTTATATTCCTTGTTAGAGGGATGTCTTGTTAAGTGATTTGTTACTAAGCTAATGGTGGGCTGAGAGTTTAATAACATTTTGTTGTTCCTAGATTAGGTAACTAACGTTTTAATCATAAAAATAACCTTCCATGGGACCAAATGTAATATGATGTCAGGTTAAGATAAGATAAGATAAGATATTCCTTTATTTATCCCCCTTAGGAGAAATTCAGGTTGACATAGCAGCAATAGGGCAAAATAGTGCAAAAACAGAGAAAGAATATCATAATAGAAATATTATTAATATTAGAAGATATAAAACTATAAATAAAAGTATAGGGGAGAGTGGGGTAAGATGAGTCATTTTTCATATTTAGGATCACTACATCAAGGCAATCATAGTTTTGTCACTAACTAATATATCTGCATATATTTCAGGATGTTGTGCATCCCTTCAAACAAACAGAATGAAACATAACTGTTGTGATAATATAGCATGTCCATGGTCTTGTGGCTTAACGTACCCCGTGTATGGGGTAAGTTGAGCATAGGAGCGGGGTAAGTTGAGCATAGGAGCGGGGTAAGTTGAGCCACAGCCTCCACACTGTCCAGCTCCATCCCCACCACCGAGTTGGCCCTCCTCACCACCTTGCTAAGCTTGTTGGCACCCCCAGTGCCGATGCCTCCCCCCCAACAGACCACCGCAAAAAGAGGACACTGGCTACTACAGACTGGTAGAACATCTGTAGTAGCTGAGTGCACACGTTGAATGACCTGAGCCTCCTCAGAAAGAACAGCCTGCTCTGTTCTTTCCTGTAGAGGGCCTCAGTGTGATCCGTCCAGTCCAGTTTATTGTTGAGTGTCACCCCCAGGACCTTGTAGGTGTCCACCACCTCTACCTTCTGTAGTGGAGAGAGGTAGGTGGGGGGAGGAGCTGGAGGTTTGTGTTTTTAGGCTTGATAAGAGACAGAGCGAGGGACACAGATGGGTAGAGACAGATGAAAGAAAAGCAAGCATGATGGAGGGATCTGTAAGAGGTCAAGGGGAGCTGACACCCATCAGTTTTCTCTCCTTAATCTATCTGTGTATTACATTGCTCACCCCATCTCCCTACACACACACACACACACACACACACACACACACAAACACACACAGGCAGACATGCCAGATATCACAGACCCCCAGCAATTGGCTTTGTCATGACCTTTAACCCCTATATATCTGTGTGTGTGTGTGTGTGTGTGTGTGTGTGTGTGTGTGTGTGTGAACATGTCTGTAACATTTTGCTATGAAATGAGGACTCAAAAATCAATTTACAGCTGCTTACCCTTTTTCTAAATCATGTTTCACTAGCTGCTGAACGTGTGTGTGTGGCCGTTAGAGAGAGTGTGTCAGTGACAACGAAATACTGTATCTAAATTATTTTCAGATCGCCTTTCTTGTCGCTGTGGAACAGTCAAACTCGGTGTTTGTTGAACGCTTATCTGCAAAATTCCACCCAGGAGACCTTTTGTGTATCACTTAGTCAGAATATTTCACTGCTATCTTGACCACGGGAAATGTACTGTCACATTCCAGATAGTGGTTTTATTTAAGAACCACTGTGGGTATTTTGCTGTATGTAACAGCCTAAAGCACCACAAACACAACATTTTACTGCAGTGCCTGAATTTCATTTTATTTCAACTCTTTAATCATTCATTCATTCTGAATCTGACCACAATCCTCATAACGACCTTAAGTGTGACACAGCTGGCTCGGGTGTAAAAGAAGGAGATGGATCTGATTCACAGTAGCAGCAGATCAAATCAGGATGTCTGACAGGCAGAGAGGTAAAGCAGGTATGGCAGTCTACAAAGTTGTGAGGGCATGATGTGCAGCTGAAATCCAAGTTGTCAAAGTGACAGACAAATTTCTGTATATAAGAATCAGAATAGAGGGGTATTAACATATGTCTTTTTTTATAAAGTTGCAGTAGTTTCCAACTAGAAAATGTTAACTGAATCTGAAAGTGCTTATCTCGAAACAGATTGTGAGTGATAGACCTTTATAATGATTTTAAGATTGACACACAGAGGCTTTAGAAGTGCTGGTAGACATATTTCTTACCTTTGGACAGAGCACAGTTTGTTTCCCCCAGGTTTGTTTTCAGTCTTTATGCTAAGCTAACCAAAGCTAACCATCTCATTTTATTACTGAAAAATAGATATAAGCCTGCATCCAAAACATCTTGAGCAATGCTACTGGTCTGTGCTGATGCCTAAACATAACATTATTTAAACACACTGACCAACAGAGAAAGGCTGAGGCACATAAACATACTTCCACAGGCTTTTTGGAGAGAGCATAAAATAGAATGGCTTCTATCCATTAAGCTGTAAAACGTGCCATTATTTTTGGATGGGATGATTTGACTCCCTGTTTCTCTCTCACAACCACTTACACAAACACAAACACACACACATATGCACACATATATAGTGTGATTTCAACTTTTGCACCTTCTTAACAGTCCTGAAGGCACTCATCATTATCACTTCCATCACCAACATCCTTACTATCATCTTCTTCATCCTCCTGGTCATTATTATCATCATAATCACATTTTCAGAAGTAGAAGTAGATGCTTTGTATGAATGTAATATATTTTTACAGCTCCAGGGATTGTGACAAAGGCACAGAGACACTCAGAGTGTGAAAGTGGTTTACACTAAAGTTACAGGCCATCATTTAAAAAATGGTGAGAACAACCCTTTATCTCCCTTTCTATCACCTTTATCTTCCTCTTCTTTTACTACATTTCCATGTAGAAAGAAAGAAACAGTGACCTTGCCATTGGCTCTTTCTCTTGTATTAAAGGTAATCTACCATTATCTGTGACAGAGCATTTTTCTCTCATGAGTAAGCGGCTATAAAAGTTTTGTTGATCCAAATGAGATCTGAAAGTGGTATTTTTTGGTCATCATGGCCATTGCTGGTGAGTTTTTGCACAGCACTTCCCAAGCATCATTTGTCAGTCTTAAAATGTGCCCAGTACTCTGCCATTGACTTCCCCAGACTTTCTGGTGATGTTTGATTTTTATGTTGGAAACTCATCACATTGTCTGGCCAGTTAAGGTAGATATCAGTGCCCTTAACTACAAATTTCTACCATGTATTGTTGCTGCCACACATGACTTCCTATGTGTCAAAAAATGTTTTTGCGGGAAAGATCTAAAAATCGGAAGTAAAATATTTTGATACCCTAAAAAATATATGTTTTTCCATCCTCCTCTCTGTCTCTGTAGATTGGAAAGTCCATCATATGAGGTGATGCAGCTGGACTTTGAGGTGGATAATGTCATCAACCTGGTGCCGACCCAGACTCTGCACTGGAACATCGAGTACCCAGCTGGAATGCAGACAACTTCCAGGCAAACAGAGAAAGTCTCACACCTTTACATCAGCAACGCCGACATACAGGGAATTGTACCGCTGGCTGAGGTAAGGGATGACTCAATAAATGGGGACAGATACAGATATCTGTGAGCATACATATTGACATACCCAGCAGCATTTCTTATGCTGGAATAGACTCCCATGTTTCCCTTCATTTCCCTCCTACTCCTAACCTTCTTGCTGACACCCCCTGCCCATCCCTTTCCTTCAGGTTGATCAAAGCTTTAAAGGTCAGCTTGTTTACCCCCTGCTGTTGCTACAAGCCTCCTGGTCACACACACAGCAGGTTTCAATCTCACAGGTTTCAAAATGACAAGCAGCCTCACAAATATGCACCCACACATGTACATCGCCTATAGACATGCACACAAATTCACATACTGAAACCCTGAGTGTGTATGCAAATGCATACAGATGCATACTGACTCACATTTGAAATTGCAATTATCCAAAAATTCACAGACACATCTACATCCATGCACAAAAATCATTTTCCCATAATATGTGTCATTTTGGCAGGTGTCATTCCTGGTGAGACTCAAACAAATTTGCCTCTTTAGGACTCAAAAGGCTGCTTTCCATAGAGACTCCAAACCTTCATTGTATCAGTATCTAGACTTCAGTGTAACTTTGAGAAACACTGACACAACCAAAAATAGTTTAGTGCACAACAAAAGGGATACAAATTGAAATGTAGTTAGTGTTTGCATACTTCTTCTTTGCAGGTGGGATGAAATAATGATGTGATGTATACCAGTAACAACTCAATAATGCAGCTTATCTCAGACAGTAGCTCGCACTTGCTTTGCAAGGCATATACTTATTATTACTGATACTAATAATATACCCATAGCATTACTTATATAAGGCCAGGATAATGTAAAGCATGTTTTGATTATTACTCTTACCCTTTCTTTCATATAATTTTGCTATCTAAAGACTTTATGATCAGTTTAGTGTATAGATTTGAAACTGAAAAAATCTTGAAAGGTTATTTTGGTGACAATGGCTGCAGCACATAAAAATAACAACTCAGTAAAATAAAATAAAACGTACATTTTCCAAAATGTAAATGTCTATGCAGTTTATGTTGTATATTCTGCTGCATGCTGAATATAGGGTGAGCAGAAAAAAGTATTTTAGCCACATAAAACAACTCCCACCGTTAAAAAATAAATATCAGTTTAAGTGTGCGACATATTAGAGGTTTCCTCAGCCGTTCCATATTCATCTGCAAAAGTCTTCTGTATAGGGTTCATGAAGGTATGGTGTATGGTGAAAGGCATTTCGTCTTCGCTGTCATAATGATTTATTTTAATTTTCTTGTATTTGTTTTTTCTTCCATAAACCGCTGTAACTTTGATCCTAACAGCTGACTTGCAGTGTAACATGCCGTGCACGGCAGAGTTGGGCTTAGGCATAGGAATACAGCAATTATAGGTTGAGACAGTGTAGTGCCAAATGACAGGACTGTCTGAGGGCAAGGTAAAGCTGTGAAAATATCCTTAATATAGAGTACACTTAAACTGATGTTCATTTTTTAGGTTGACTAAAATATGTTTTCCCGCCGATCCTGTATTCAGCAGTGCACTGCTAGGACTCCCTGTTGGGTCTCCAGTCCGCTTCTCCGAACTGGGGGCGCACTGACCTCCGTCTGCTGCAGGCAATACGCTGACTATGGATAACTGTCTCATATAAAGTTTAAAAAAACTATCCCTTTCAGGGAAAAAATTAAATTTAAAGCTTTCTGTCTGGAAAAGAGAGCAAACCTTTGCATAAGACTGATGACTTTGGACTTGTACTTACTTTTATTAGACAGGGTCAGGTGGAGAAAAGCTCCTTAAAAGATTGCTTAAAAAGCCTGCTTAAGTCTGTGACATTTCTAATCAGATAAAATACCAACATTACTTCATACATTCACAGATCAAAACAGACGCATCTCAAAGCAGACGTCGCTAGTCTGGCTAAAGCAACCAAGACCCTCAGGCTAAAAAGTGAGGAGACGGATGCTTTTCAAAATACTCCCAGTTCCATTACCAGTGAGGTAAAGCTAATCTGGCCTCATAGCCCTCCTTCAAACAGCAAAGCCCTAGTGAGAAAACCCAATTTTCTTCAGGGCTTTTGCAAACCCTGTCTTTTTCACACACTGGAAAAAAACAAGCTTGAAACCATCATCTCAAATAGCAGTGCTGTTCGGATTTTGCTAGCTTTTTTTTAAGGGGCAGTGTGAATGGATCTCAGGGATAAGTAATGCTACATCTCATCCCCCTGTATTTTAACAGTATTCTAGAAAGTAATTAAATGTATTTTTCAGAGAAAACTCTCACGGATATTAGTTGAACATTTAGATATATGTATATGTGACCCTTGAGTTTTTGATGTATTCATTTAAAATCTTTCTGTTTGTGTCATAAATTATTACATTGACAATATATGAGAATGTGAATTTATTGTTAGTGTGATCCACCCCTAACTTGACAGCCTCGAAACCCTTCAATTATTTTGTTTTTACACAATATAAAACTTTACACATTTTTTTGTTCCATCTCTTCTGTGGATTTTTATACATGGCAAAAATAAAAACCAACATTAATTGGCCTAGTAAGGTGTTGGGCCACCACAGGCCTCTATAACAGCTTCAGTGCTCTTAAGCATGTAGATTGTACAAGTCTGGCGGAACAAACATTACTCTGCCCAAAGATATTCCCTCATTTTCTGTTATGATGACGCTGGTGGAGAGTGCTGTGTGGGACATCTAAAATCTACCATAGGTGTTAAGTGTGGTAGAGATCTGGTGACTCAGAAGGCCATAGCGTGAGTCCCAATTTTCAACTACTCATCAAACAATTGAATGACACCCACTGCCCTGCATGTAAGCAACTGCATTTGTTTATTTAAATAATCGATTTGTATTTGTGCTTACATCAATGGATTTTTACCTACATGTTTTGCCCCAAAATATATCTATTGACATTGCTAATATGGCAACCTCGTGTCACGTGTTATCATTGACTTTTCAATAATTTAAGCAAGAAAATCACTTTCCCTCACCTCAATCAAGGGCTTGGAGTTGCCCAGACTCAATTGCTGTATATGATATATGTTATATCAGGCTTAAGTGCCTGATATAGCAATGTATTTGTTTCTTGAAAATTTGTAGGACACAGTCATTTTATCTTATTCACGTTTATTCAAGTTATCGCCATACGAAGTATTACTCTCTCTACAGTAACTTCCTGACAAATGTATTCTATTACATGCACAAAATCCACATGTTCTCACTCCCAACTTGTAAAGTAGGGAAGTCTGGTCAGTGCCCCTCCACTACTTTCATTTCTGGATGCAGTTACTGTGTGAAACAGTTACAGTTTGGTTAGGTTTATGCACAAAACTACTTGGTTAGGTTTAGGAAAAGGTCGTAAATTACGTTAAGGACCTGACGTAACCATACCATATGTTACATAAAAGAATGTTTACATTTGATTTCACACAAGACATGTCTAGCGGTCTTCTGGGTTTAAGTCCTGTGTTTTTTTGAGCCATTGATCCGCCCCACCAACACCATATGTGGACTTTCTTGCTTTTTAAAGTACTTTACCTTACTTTGACAGCTGGCACGTCCAGAAATAATGGGACCACTGACCAAGCTGCAGTATTTGACAACTTGGGAGTGAGAACGGGTTGCACAAAACACATATCTTTGTATGCACACACCTACACACCTAGTTTCACTTTCTCTCTCTCCATCTCTTTTTTGCCCCACTACTTTGGGTAAAAGCATCAAAATGGCTGCTATTACAAGTCATTTGGGCCTCCTGATTTGTTTACCGGAACTGCTGACCAGGTGCTGATTGTTGGTTGGTTGTTTAATGCGTCTGTCACTGAGAGGGGTCTCTGTGATATGTCACCGAGATGAAAGCTCCAACATTTCTCGGTCTTTTGGCGGAAGGAAGGAAGGAGGAGGAATGAAATTATGAGCTGGGATCTTCAAAGGGAGCTGGATGTAAAAGCTTTCACAAAGTCTTGCATCCTCCTTCCTAAACACTCCACATCTGAAGATTGGAACAAATGTGCAGTAAATCATGTAACGAAATGTGGGATCTTTACAGTTGTTACATATTTAAACGGCCTTAAAACTAAGGCTCACATATAATTGCATCAGGAGCACTCAGCACTGGTTTTTAAACATTTTCTCTGTCTGATCTGTTTGGGTGATTCAACTCCACCTCAGCCATCCTCTACCATCTCCCAAATCAAAAGTCAGCTTATCAACAGTACTGATGTGGTAATGCCGTGGGTTCTCTCTTTACAAGGCAACAATGAAAATCCAAACACTGCCTGTCATTACCAAACCCTCGCCGTCATTTTCCGTCTAATTCCGCATATCCATTAAGGTTCTGGTCTCTTGGCTGAGCGGGAAAGAAAGAGGCCCTCTTCAGGAAACGAGGGATTATTAGGAGTAATTTGTCTCCTGCGGGGGCTGAAAAATTGGTTTCATCTTTTAGAGAGGAGAGAAGAGGTGAGGAGACAAGAGGAGGAGAGTTAGGGAATGAGGGAGGGAGGGGGAGACAAAGAAGAGCCAGAGAGAGACTGACAGAAAGAGACAGGTAAGGGAGATTTTATTGTCTGCTGTATGTGCATTGTCTTTGCTACCTCTCATTTTTAGGCAATATGAGGTTTCAGCTTTTAGCATTAGTCCATACAGTAGCACCATGTCTGGCTCATGATGTCTGCAGATCAAACAAAAATCATAAAAAAGAAACAGTGAACAATGTAAGCTATGTAATCTACTACAGTTTTGAACCCTCAACCAGCAAAAAAAGGAAAAGGTTATTGCATTGTACCAGATTTTCTCTATGTCATTCCTGCCACTTCCTACTCAAACAAACCATCTATCACCTAATTCACAGAGCCTTAGCTGAATTGCAGCAAAGTGGGAATACTGAATTTATAGGAAGAACAGTAGGGTGGAGCAGGAGAACTGCAAACTGATCAGAGTAGTGAAAATGTGAATTTCCCACTCTGAAAACTTGAATTGCAGTCAT